TTACTGTACGTGTCGATTATGTGCTACAACATGCATTGCATTATTTCTGAGCAGAAGGTTTCTTTTTTGAAACCGGAATGTCCGAATTACAACCTTCCCAACATACACGTTTGCAGCCCCGTTCGCTTACCCTCTCCCTAAAAGTTGTACGTAATATCTGCCCGGCGTGGTAGTTCTAGCCATAAATTACAAAAGTAATATTAATATCTTATATATGAAACTTTATCATAAATCATGTTTCTGCAGTTAATATAATAGTCGTATTCGGATGTTGCAACATTTACTACTTTATTCCCCTCATTCAAGAACTCTAAACGTACTTCGCTACAAGAATTAAAGCTGTCTCTGCAAAAATTTTCCTTTAATGGTTACTTGGTGGCGCATGCCTGTTAACTTTACCACAGAAAGTTGAACGAAACCCTGGGATGAGGGCGACAAAGTTTCTCATCGCTAGAGGGTACTCCGCATTTTATCCATATATGGACTATCTGCGCTGCATATTAAAATAACCGCGCTTTTGTCACACATCACCCCTATTCGACGACAAATTTATCAAACGATAAATCTGCACGACTTAATCCATATGAGCATTCTATGATATGGAATTTCCCTCTTTCAACCCAAAATATACTGTTCCACGTATAGCTTATTTAATAACGTTAACTAAGAAGCAGTAGAATTATTTACACATTTTTGCAAAATATGATTTGCTCATATGACTTTACATTTACCACTCCGCAATTCAACAAACGGCTGGCCGTTGATATGTATTTCATGTACTTAACAGAGGGAATAAATGGGCATAGAAATCAAAAATTCTTTTAGGCGCACATTTGAAAGTTCTACGGATTCAAACCCATGGTTACAGGACCGCACTGCATTGACCATGCCTTAACTTTATATACCTTCGCTACGTCATAAAAGCTTCATTTAGCAACTTAATTACAGCTACAGCTAAAATATCTAAGAGGTTATTTTTTTCCAATTACTATTTGAATTTATATACAAATTAGACATGTACTTGGCATTCATATGGTTTAGGATGGCTACATTGAAAGAGCGAGCAACGCGCAACTCCTTCTTGAATGCGTCGAACATCTTCAAACAATCCTCGCCAGCCTTCATCACCTCCGGAGGGATAACGACGGTGGCGGTCTTTTCACCGGCAGA